GTGTATAATGACTTATTTTTTCATCATATTTTAAAGTTAGATACAAAAGTGCGACAACCTATTTTTCTATCAATTTGAAGTGTGCAGTTAATAATATCTTGACATAAACCATCTTCAAGGACTAGACATGCCAATTAGTTAAATGTTATATATATGAATTTGACAAAAAAAGTAAAAAAAAAATAAGTGGTTAAATGAGCAAAATTGATGAATTTAAGTGTATGGAATTGATCTCCTGAGTACCAAGCTAAACATCTATGCTTAAGAGATCAATTATGCTTAATTGTAATGAAAATGTTATACAGCAAATAAAAAAGAACAATCCCGCTACAACAACATTAAGTTTGACATCTTTTTTGATTTTTTTTTATTTTTTTATAGTGTGTGATGTAGCACACTTTTTTACCCTTATTTCAACAACACCAAAAATAATTTATGGCACAAGTTTTTACACCTCGTACAATGTCAACCTTAATGCATACATGAAATGTAAAAAATAGCATTTTCCGAAAAATAATGATCCATAACATATAAAAGTCCAGATAGTGGAAAAACATTTGGACGACAATACCATGACTGATATTTTAAATTATTTATTTGTTACACATTTAATAATATCCCTTACAATTTTATTTTTATTTTCGAATATTTACCCTAACAAGTCCAATCCCACCTTAAATCTACATAAAATACCTTCATGAAAATTTAATAATTTTGGCATTGCATTTAATGCACACATATATTACGTTAAGAACTGAAAACAAAAATGAAACCCACGGTATTCATAGGTAGTGCATTAATCATGGTTTAAATGTGAAAAAAGGAAACTTAAATTTAATGCAGAGATTTTTTTATTATCAACTTGTTAGAATTTTTGAAGTAATCCGTTATTAGTTCGATATACATGCTACAAAATTTTGTACAAAGGCATTGGGCACAAAAGCTACTCCGATCAAGGAGAAGTTCCGACTCATGTTAAAGTAATCATTAAAAAAAGGCTGAACCCCAACCTTGAGGGCCCCACTGTTCCGGCCCTGAAATATCGTGAGGGAGGTAAATCGCGGGATATACTTCAGCAGGTTAGAGAACAAGAGCTTGCATGTACACTAGTGCCCACAAAAAGTCTAATTTCATATTTTAGAAATCTAACCCTCACACTGAGACTGTCAGCAAAGTTGAGACTACTTCACTCCTGTCCTTTACACCACTGAATTATGCCCCGAGGGGCAAAGAAATCATTATTAATATGTAAGATTGTCTATTTGGTAACATTAATTTTCATTTCAATTCTTCAACCTCCATGATGCTTAAGTGTCTATTAGTCTGAATGAATTTCATTTGTGATTTCCCCATTTAAATTAGTATAATTTGTATACGTGGGTTAAGAAATAAAATTTCTTGATTTTTGGAATTTTTAAGTTCTTCAAAAATAAAATTTTACTATCTTAGAGCAATGGTAATCAATTTTTTTAATCTATTTTTAATTCCAATGGTTGATTTTTTAAATCTGTTTTTAATACACATTCGATTAAGATTTACAACATTACACTAGACCTCAATAATATTGTTTGTCACATTACTAATATATAATATATTAAATATTACATCAATTGAAAATCATTTTTTACAAGGTTCTAACCCCGTCATAATTCAATTATTTCAATAGTACTTTACTTTTCATTTCTCAATACGGAATAAATAGTTAAATACTATAAAACCTTTGGTTATGTATGAATGTTCATGTTCTTAATTCTCAATTAATTGTCATTCACATTCTTCAACACTCAATGAGTTTTGATTTACATGTATTTAGAGTGATTATTAAATAAATTTATTTCTATACACGTATCTAAAAATTTTAATGAGTATTTAAATTCATGTATTAACAGTTAAAAAGATTGCTAATTTATATTATTTCATTATACAAAAAATTGAACCATAAAATTTGAATTTTGAGATTAGTTGTCTTAAATTTCTATTCTAATTTTTAGTTTCTTCCATATTCTGTTTATGCCGCAACATTGAAGCCTATCATATCAAGCCCTTGTTTGAACCCCATTTTGAGGAGAATAATGTATTTTTAAATAGTAATTGATGGAAAATGTTAATTAAAAATTTAAAAAAAAATTTAGATTTTCATGTAATATTATTTTATTAAATAATTTGTAGTTGAAAAACAAATTTTGAAAAAATAAATTTTTAGACGAATAGGACCCAAACAAGGATCAAATATTACTTTTACAATATTTATAAAATATTTCAGAATAATACGTTCAACTCTGACTAATAATAAACAAATTGGGACAATTGACACAATTGCACAAGGCATGTTTTATATTCTTTCGAATTGCTTTTCCTGTAAATAACTGAAAAATAAGTAAAAATTTACAATATTCCAAAAATCTCTATTCTATTGGGCCGGTAATTCGGGTTTCCATTCAAAATCATTAAACCCGAAACCCATATCCGAATAGTCGAATAATTCGTCTAGGGCCACATATTCGCCGTTACTACTGTTACTATAGGTATCCGTTCCGCCGATGCCAAACTCATACGAGTCATAACTCGGAAACTCCCACAACTCACCGCCTAGTTCGGACGAGTCAGAGCTCACTCGTCCCAACTCGGTCTTCTCATCACTCAAAACACCCACCGGAGACCCCGTCGACGGAGGAAGCCCAAGCTCGTGATCCGAAGCCTCCAACAAATACTCCAGATCCGGCTGAGACTCTTCAGGACCTGACTTCAAATCCAACGTTGGCGAAGGCGAACCCATAATTTCCTCCTCGAAACTCTTCATGAAAGAGTCAAGATCCTGACTCTCTGTGCATAACTCCGAATCATCATCACCTAAACTGTCCAATAACTCCTCCCTCAGCCTCTTAACCTCCGGCAAATCAATCACCGAGACAGTCTCCTCCTCCGACCCATCCCGTCCTCTCTTCTTAACCTTCACTTCTTCCATCAAGATATGATACAAAATTCAAACAATATTCAACTATACAATAATTGCTTCAGATGAAATATCGCAGCTGATTGGGGAAGGAAATGTTAAGTGGGACGATTATATAGTGGAGAAATGAAGATTTTTTCTTAGATGGGGCCCACTGTTGACGTGTCTGCTCATCTGCTCTTTGTGCGTGTATGTGTGGTGTGTGTTTTAGGTGGTGGATTTTTCTAGAATATATATTTCGAAATCTTGTGGATTTTGAATTAGAATGTGTGGGGGCCACTGGACATAGTCAATCACGGCCTATTTTTCTCGAGTTTCTTTTGCATTTGAGTATTATTTGTTAGAAGCATATATTTATATGGGCCGTCGGTACCGCTGAAAGGAAGTCCACAAGAATTTCCGATCTTTTATTTTATTTTACTTTTTTAGAAAAATTAGTTGTAGGATGGGGCGCCGTTTGTTATCAATTTTTTTCAAAATACATTTTTCTCTCTTCTTTTCAACCATACATTCTTTATTAAAATAATATTTCATGTAAATAAAAAAATTCTTATTTTTCAACCACACATTTTTCATCAATTTACTATTTAAAAATACATTTTTACATAAAAATGTTTCTCAAACACCCTCTGAATATATTGTAGGCTTACTGCCTACTTGGGTCGGTATTGCATGAATTCATTTCATTTCTAGTATACGTTAAAAAATTATGATGGATGTCTAATATTTAAATTATATTATTGAAAATAATACGATGGTGTAATAGCATATTGATAAAGTGATTATGAGGGCATTTGACACCTATTTTGAAGGGAAAATGAATTTTACAATAGTAGATCGATGGAAAATATATGGATGAAAATTTTTTGATTTACGTGTAATATTATTTTAATGAATAATGTGTGATTGAAAATAAAAGAGAAAAATACATTTTAAGAAAAATAGGAATCAAACGGGACCTATGATCATGTTTGAGCCCCATTATTTTATCATTAAAATGAAAAATATGACCGTTATCAATCACATCAAGTTATCATATTTGACTTTTTATCTCCTGTGATGAATCCATAACGACTATATTTTTCATTCTTATTTTTACAATAATGTAGCTCAAACAAGGGCTAATATAAGAAATTGATAGAATTATCGTAGTTTAGATGGTACTTTTGCTTTACCAATTGTATCTTTAAAATAAATCGTAATGTTAAATTATTATTTTTTACAAAATAGAAAAATATGCCAAATGTGTATATGTATTTTAAAAAATAAGGGATGAAATTGGGAAAGTTCTTAATGAGCATTACCAGTTTTACGTATTTAAAATTTTTATTTTTATTTTTATTTTTATTGGACATTATAGTATTTTAGATAAAATTATCATTATTACGTGTTTAAAGAGATTATTAATTTAATATACTGATTCGAGTTGGGACATAAAATTTTATAATTTCAATGAGAATACTTATTTATCAAGATTTTACTGTAATTTAATCCATAAATTAAGGAAAAATACTTGTTATGTTGCCTCAGTAAAAACGTTTGCACCCTTTTTTGAGCTCTATTATCTAAAAAGTAAAACTCAATTTTTTTTTTAAAAAAATTCATTTTTACTTATACATTTTTTCAATAAAATAATATTTACGTGTTTAAAACTTTTCCTTACTTTTTAACCACACAATCTTTAAAAAAATAATATTAATAAATAAAATTTGGAGCTTAAAGGGCGGTAAAGGGCCAATTTGTTATGCTCGATGCTCGTTCGAATTCATTATTTTAGTAGTAAATTAATCTTTAAATTTAATCCCCTGTTTGGTTTCATTTTTCTAAAATTCAATTTTTTTCATAAACTCATTTTAATCACATATTAATTGGAATCCATAATTTTTAACTTTTTAACTACACTTCTCAATTTTATTTATTTTTTTTTTTTATCAAATTTACTAAAAAAAAATGATTTTTAGCAAATCCAAGAATAAGCTTAAAAAGTAACAAATTTGGTCTTTTCATGTCGCTATATATGTACAATATGTCTCTAATTACTAAATATTCTATAATTTTACTAAGTTTTGCATAACCCTCATAGAAACATGTTTTCAAACACATATTTACAATTACTATCCACACATTTTGTGAAAAACACACATAAATTATAAGTTGCTAAAATATAAGGTGATAGAGATATGTGGTAGATATGAGTCATATGACACCTTGGTAGTGGATTGAAAGGATTAGTGCCCCCTCAAAATAAGATAACAATAGTCTTTTTAAAGAAATAAAAATAAAAATAAAAATCTATTCAAGGGACTTTGACCTTTAAATTATAATATATTTATTAGTAAATATGAACAAGCACCAATCTTTTGTCATTTAATAATAATTGTATAATTACAATGAAAGTTTAGATAATGTGCTCAAATTTTTTAATCAAAATTCAGATACAAATTGTCTTGATTGAAAATTGCGAATAAACAAATTTTAATGGACGTAACAATAAATTGAATACATTATTTCAAATGAATAATGCCCTATACTGTTCATACTCGGGCCTGTACTGTAGAGGCAGGTCGGTGGGTCCAACCTGTATTAAAAAATAAAAATAAAAATTGTGCAGACCACATCATTGTATTTGTCTTGACAAAGGTGTACATGAAGCACGATTGATTTCAAATCCCAACATCTTAGCCCCTGTTTGAGCCTCATTACATTAGATTTTATTACATTTCATTTTTCTCTCTCCCATTTTCAACCACACAATTTTCTATAAAATAATATTATATGTAAATCGAAAACTTTTTATTCTTTTTCAACCATTCATTTTTAAAAAAATACTATTCTCCCTATTAATTTTTCTACATAATGGGGATCAAACAGGGGCTTAATATTTCAAGCAAACCAGCCGACATTTTTCTATTTTCAGATTGTTTTAGTCGACAGTCCATGGAATTTTTCCAAGTTGTAGTGTGCGTTTTTGGAAAAGTGGTGGGCGGACTAATCTGGGATGTTCGGTTGGACTTTTTATTCGATTATTTTTATTATGAAAAAATCAATGAAGATAAGTTGTATTTTGGATGCCGTGCCGCATGCATATACCATTTCAATTCAATTTAGTGGTTTCGTATGTGGAAAGGTTTAAGATTTTCCGCACGCTTAAAGGACCGTCGAAGCTGGTATATCATTGATATTCTTATATATTATCAAGAAAAATATTCGGAAGAATATTCTAATCTTTATCTGTTATATAGAATAAAAGCTTCATTTCAATTATCTAGAAATAAATTCCCAAAGGGACTACATTATACAAATTGTCAAAAATATTCACAGTTATTTCGTCTCTACCGATTTGACAAATTACAAAAGCTTAAAGAAAACATTTTTTTCGCAAAGCACCAAAAAAAAAAAAAAACAAAAAAAAAAATCACTTAAGAATAATCGTTGATGACAATTATATCCCAGTGTTACGTCAAAAAACGAGTTTGGTACTCCAAGTGATTTAGGTTTCTTTATTCTACATGTTTTCATTTTCATTTTTTCAATGTAACTAATGGAATTAAATTAAATAGGTTCTCATGCTTTATTGCCAAATACAAATTGATACAGGGTACGTTTGACAGATCTATTATTTATTATAAAATAAATATATGAAAAAGCAACCTTTGATCAAAATTTTTTAAAAGTTTTCTAGTCAGACTAAATACCTTCAAAAAATTATCTAAATACATTCAAAAGCAATTTTTTAATTTAAAAATTTTTCAACGACCCTGCCAAATGAGCTTGCTAATAAGATACCGATTTAAACATTTAAATTTAATAATTTACACTCGAGTAAGTAATGTAATACCACCAACTTGTCGAATGGGTACCTAATAAAACAAATTAGCTCCACTAATGTTCCTAGTAGAAAAGGTTGGTATTTTTCGAAACCTAACAAGTTGGTAAATACTATGTTCTTGTTGCCCTCATAAGTAGTGGAGAAATATGTCATGCTATTAAGAAATAATTATCCCCCAGCTTTTTCTTTTTCTTTTTCTTTTTTTCTTTTTTTTAGTCCTTTTCCTTTTCTTGAGAGTCACACTTTCTAGACGAATGGACTCTATTATTCTGAGATCATTGTCGAGATAAAAATTGGTTGGACTTAGACAAACGGAAGGATGCACTCATGTAGCTTGATCAATCTCCCACAAGTCTCCATGACCTCATCTAATTGAGTGGATACGCCCACAACAATTTCACAATTGGCAAGAAATTTAAAAATAACCATTGAGAAAAATGAAAGTAATAGTAATAAATTTATAATAGCTTCACATATGATGGTGTCAACTTGACAATTAACTAAAAAAATGTGATTATATATTCCACCAAATTGCTTATATTTAGTCCCCCGTTTGGCCCACGTTCTCTTTCATTTTTTTCTTCTCTCTTATTTTCAACCACACAATCTCCAATAAAATAATATTGCACTTAAATCGAATGCTTTTCATTCTTTTTCAATCACAAATTCTTCAAAAAAATATTATTCCAAACATTAAATTTGGAAGGAAAAAAATGGGGCCAAATGGGGCTTATTTCAAACTACCAGAATTTATCAATTACTTAAAAGGCACGGCACTTCAACAATTTTCAACATCCTTTTAGTAAAAAGCAATTCAAGTTATTGATCAATTCTTTTTTTAATCGATAATTATAAAAAAGCAAGACATCTTTAACCATTAAGAAGAAAACCTCCCAACAAATTGGACCTTGCCGGCTTTCTTGATTTTCTTGCTTATACACATCAAACATAGATAATGTATCTTATTCAATTTATGCACCCTAGAATACGTGCTATATGTACATAATTGTCCACATAATAATCTCCATAATTATACGTGGCACTGAATCTTATCTTTAATTCAAATTTTACACTTACATGTCAATAACCTGATGATTGTCACATCACATTATGGACACCATTATGTGTAATAATTATGTACAAGTAAATTTTTTGAGTATTATATTGCTCATCACCATGAACATGCAAAAGCCAAACTATAATTAAAAAATCTGTGATCTAAGACAGCTCATTGCTTGGTTCCAAAGAAGGAAAACAATGGGTCAGATTGTTGAGTCCATTACAACAAGAGCCAACAAAAGGGAAAAAGCCTACTTAGCATCCTATGCAAAGAAAAGTTGAAAATTCTATAAAACATCCTCAATTAAGCGTTACTTGTACCTAAAGAAAAAACTTTTAAAAGATAACATTGTGCATCAAAGATAATTCATAATTGGACCCACTAAACCCGACGGTGCGTGTCTTTATGATGTTTTCTTATCTAATAAGAAAAAGACCATGGGAAAAATCAAGAGAAGTTTATTCCAAGTGGCTCTTTCTTGAATTATAACCCAAATCCAATTCATTTTAAACGTAACATTTAATAGGAATACCATATTCCTTTAAAATTATAAATTAAAATTTTATTTCTT